TGCAGTCAAGTAAAACTGATATTAGCAACCTTATTTACTCAGTTTGGAAATATTCCGGCAAATGAAGTAGGTTGAACATTTACCGAGTTTCCTGCTGTGCAATCGCAAATATAAATATAGCAACTAAGGGGCATGTAACTACTAGTTTCAAGTAGAAGTTCTTGTTCAGCCTTTTTTTCCCCATGCTAGTTTATCTACAAATTATTAAAATACTCTATAAACTGTATAATTATAATCAATAAAGCTATATACATAAAAAAACATTTTGTATAGCATGGTTTCCAGTAAACACTTGAGAATCGAGAGACTGACGAGTATGACAACATGAAGGAATATAATAATAATGAATTATTAAACGCAGATATTGTGCGATGTTTTTGCCCGCAGGCCTGTCGCGGAGAAGGCATGGACCGAGGCTTTGAGCTCATGGACTGAGCTTTGAGAAATCATGGACCGTGGCCAGACACCCGCACCACGTTCACCAAGAACCCGCACCACGTTCTTTGTTTTTTACAGGGCCAGTAGATGTCGTCAAATTCGGCACTTTGTGTGCCGACCACCGTGCATCAGTGAATCAACACCATCCGTGCATCAGTGGCGTTTGACCGAACTGCATCGTCCAAAACGCCCGTCATTAATAACGGGCGTTTCTCTCACCTGAATGAAAAACAGTTTTGGTTTTCCCTGCAGCGTTGGGCACTTATCCCCCGTGAAGGGCTTCCATAACTGCGCGGTGCACATAAACTGGTCGTATAAGCTGACTAACTCAATGTCGTTTTGACTGCTGCCCTCCTGGCTTATGAATATGACTACCAACGCATCAACGTCATTGTGGTCGCGCTCCCTCACTTCCCTGAGGTATTCTCGAAACGCGCTCGACGTCAGATTTTTGTAGATTTCAACGCTGGAAGGAGGCTCGGCACATTCGGGCATCGATGCTTGAGTGCTTGCGCGGCGGAAGCTACAAGGTGGAATATAATGAAGATTGAGAGATTAAAGCGTGTCAAACGGATTTAGCACATTTTGATTATAATTTTGTATCAACCCTTTATTTGCGCAACCAGCAGTAATTACTATAACTGTCGTTGGACTCTTACCAGCAGTGAATTGACCGCAAGCTGAGGGCAGACAAGCAGGCGCTCGACTGGTGAGCACCTCTATATGGTTTCTTAACCCTACAGTGGTACATTACATACGTAATTAACGCCTTCGAAAATCGACCGAAACAAAACCGAACGAAAAAGTGACCAATTTAGTTAGTTTTAGCACGCGACTACTGCAAGTTCAAGTTAAATATTATCGAACTTTCATTCACAGGCGATAGTGACAAAGATGCTAGAAAAGTTGTGTTACCAAGATATCGAATGTTGGCTTCAGTGAAATGCTTTTTCTAATGTTTATATATTGGGTAAAACACGGATAATAAAAGTATTATTGCTCTATACAGTTTACTATGATCCCATTAAAGAAGAAGGGCTGTAGGGAGACTAGAGTATGATTAGAGACGCCCACAGTCAAGCTGAGCTGTCACGATATTCACATAGCATTGGATCCTCGTTATCTACAATGATCATTTACAATGCAAACCCTCGCATTCTCTTTGGTAAGGATCAATACAAGTCATTAAAAATCAATTACTTTAAGAATATCAATTTATACAATGCGATACCTAATTAGGTTACCTACACTAATAAGCACAATTTTCAGCACCAATTAGAATTAAAGAATTCGTTTATATTAATATAAAAAGTTGAATTTTTGCTGTAAATTATATAAATGATTATGAATTTCGTCAAGACATAATAGGACACGGAGAAAATTAACTATGCGATTTGCCTCAACCTTATTGTTCTAGTTAAAATTTTGAAATTTTTCATAAGATTTTTCACAAATAATTTCTTCGGAAATTTTTGCTTCTAAATGATCACATCAGAAATTTTTTACTAAAATGATAATTTTTGCTTCTAAATTATCACAATCACAGCATCTCAAGAACACGCAGCTCTCGAAGAAAGTTTCAGACAACAATCTTCTTCCATAGCATGAACATCTATTGACCTCCATGACAGCCGAATTAAATACAATGCAAATGAAATGCAATACTTTTGGTGTCAAGATCGATCCGAAAAAAGCATAAATTTTCTACTGTACATTCTCGGTCTGTTAGTATATCGAGTTAGTAGTCTTATTAAAAATTTTGAACCTTAGAGATCAATTTGGCAATGATATATTGAGAGACTCGTGCCAATGATGTATAAATGGCAACTTGCATCGATATGCAACATTCATGCAAACGTCGTGATAAGATAAAGGGTGTACCTTTCATTGGGTTCCTCTTGATAACACTGAACTATAGTTCGAGGGTCTAAGGGTCACTAGCTACAACGCTGGTATATAAGTGAATATCCTAGAAAAATACCATCAAGCCGATTATTCACTTAGCAAAATAGTCTATAAGAAGGCAGCGTGGAATAGAAAGCAGCTAATAAAGCTAACAAAAAATAAAATACGACCAAGATGATCAATGCATGAATGATATGAACAGAGAACGACGGATCTTTCTTCTTATTTTGCTTGAAGATAAACACGCTTCAAGTTTATTTGTTGTGACACTAGTAATGGAGGTGGAACATGGAAAAGAAGCGAGATGTTGATACATGTTACAGCCACAGTCACTCAGTATTACTAAATAACCTTACGGCATAGAATTGGTTACGAACAAGATTATTATACGATGATGGCCATGACAAGATTAATACACGAGTGATGACATCACTGAGTACAGGATGATAAGAGGCTTGTACACGAGCACAACGGTGCCCAAAATACGGGATCGATAACAAACGCTTTACGAGGAGATATTGGGAAAAATTCACCATGAAAAGCAACTGAAATGAACAGCCTTGGACACTGGTTAAATACCGCTACATTGGTACGCTGGTCTCGTGATACGCAAGATCGATTTGGACGCACATTTAGACGCGATCGTAGCGGTGCCTTAGGCTGATGTAGTGATGTACGTATGCAAATTATGTACAGCCTCTAAGCGGTCGGAGCGTGAGGAATATAAGAGGCGAACCAAAGTTTACAAGGTAAATGTACAATTCGCATTGCAGCATCGTCGGTATCAACAAAATAAATATTACTGGATTTACTTTAGTTCTCTTTCCGCCGCCGCGTAATTAAGCTGGTACGAAGTCAACAAGTGTTCATCATCAAATCCGCTGTATAGAATAATATTAATATAGATTGTGCTAAAAATTAACCTGCTTGTTGCTGAAGCCGAAAAAATGGTTAACTTTCATTGCTTGACGGAGTGAGCAGGTTGCATAGTTCCCAAATACATTCAGAAAAAATGTCACAATATTAAAATACGGATTGTGACAAATTCATAACTTACACAGCACAGAAAACACAGGAAATTGTAGCCTATTTCGTTTTTGCCATTCAATGATCATAGGTTATGCATCAACAGTTACTAATAATAATAATAATGAAAATAATTCTAATAATAATAATGGTAATAATAAAAATAAAAATAATTAGAAATTTTCTCGACGCTCAATACATCAAAAATTGAAGCATAAATCCACGAGGAATAGAAACTAAAAAATATAAGCAATTTCATTTCAGTTACAAGGAATTACAGACTTGGCAGAAATATAATAACTACGGCCGAGAATACTCGCGCTAAACAGCATAATAGAATCAACCTTCGTTAATTAGAGAAACTAAAGCATACGGAGAAATAAATGGAAGAGAAGTGCGACTCCCGACTACCATTTAATAGTCTCCCACCGAAATTACCTTCAATAATTAATACGCAGAGCAGAATTTGTTCCTCTACATCATTTGTTAAGACGCTCAAACTTTGTAGGGACTGTCGCCAAGGTTTAACTTCCACCGAAATTACCTTTAACAATTAATACGCAGAGCAGAATTTGTTCCTCTACATCACTTTAGACGCTCAAACTTTGTAGGGACTGTCGCCAAGGTTGAACTCAGCGCTGCACTTATAATGATTAGGAATGAAATGAGTGAAACGAACACCCATAACTCGCACGCACACATTATACAAACAATGAGATGACCTACAGGTAAATAATTAGTAATTCTAGTTGAAGTAAAGTCTAGACAGCGATAGTTAATTGGTATAGTGTTAAGAGTATCATTACAGAGAAATTCTCCACCATCTCGCTCGCATGCTCGGGCAGATTTTTCTCAAGGTACGACCACAAACTGCTCGCGATGTTCTTCTATTAAAGGGACCATTTGAGGTCCCTCTAATAAAAGGTTCTAGTGAGGTCCCTCTAATTAAGGTACCTCATTAGATCCCTATTATTAGAGGACATAGTGAGGTCCCCTCTAATTAGGGTACCTCATTAGATCCCTATTATTAGAGGACATCGTGATGCCCCTCTAATTAGGGTACCTCATTAGATCCCTATTATTAGATGACATCGTGAGGTCCCCTCTAATTAGGGTACCTCATGAGATCCCTCTAATTAGATGACCTCATTAGATCCCTCTTATTAGATGACCTCGTGAAGTCCCTCTACTTCAGGGACCTCGGGAGGTCCCACAGCGGCCTTGTCTTGCAGGCGTTGGAGGCATGAGTTCACTAGAAGCAGTTTGTTGTTGTACCTTGCAACGACCACATAATAAAGCATCGAGCTTAAGACTAGCAGCAATACGATACGCGGCCTCATTAACCATATTTTACATAGGTCCTCCCATACATCCATTATCTCATGCTTATTGCACTGCACTGAACACATACACAAGCACTTGATAAGACAAAGAGGCGAGGGTAACTCAAAGAGAAGCTGTACATCACATGAGATGACTTAGTCGTAAGTTTTCTAACGTCGCCGATGCTTAGGTTCTTTTCAGTATTTAAACAGATAAACATGCTTCATAAAATAAAAACATATTACACGTTGCATTTGGAATTAATTTTCAATAAATTATGACCAAAAACTATTCGCAAAGATAAAATTATTTCAATATAGAACGACAAAGTTTAAATGAGGAAAAATATGATTTTTTGAACGTTCACCTCGCGTTGCCGCTCGCTGCAAAAATAATTTGACATCCTGAAACTGTAGCAACATCGCACTCTCTTATCTGGCAAACCATTCGCTGTACTGCTGTACTGCGGTAAAAACTGCCAGTTTTTCGATTAATTCTAACCAAAAACATGTATTGTTAACTCAAATTTTGTTATAAATTCAATATCGTGGCTTGGTAGTCAAGTTGGAACTTTTTAAGCTAATCTCATTAGTATGAAATATATTAGCACAGTTATATCATATGAAGAATTTATAGTTGATTTCGATATGATTTAGAACACTGCCGAATGTTCAAATTTATAAGCGATCTTTTCTTGTAGGTTGACTAGCTTCTTTATCAGATTCAAGTGTGACGCTTAACCTGAACGCCTCCAGCGTTACGCCCTTCGTAACACCCCGAAAGGGAGGCCGTCACACCCCGGTCTTGTCACACCACGGTCTTGTCACACCCCGGTCTTGTCACTCCCCGGTCTTGTCACTCCCCGGTCTGGTCACACCCCGGTCTTGTCACACCCCGGTCTTGTCACATCCCGGTCATGTCACAATCCGGTCTTGTCACATCCCGGTCTTGTCACACCCCGGTCTCGTCACACCCCGGTCTTGTCACACCCCGGTCTTGTCACACCGCGGTCTTGTCACACCCCGGTCTCATCACACCCCGGTCTTGTCACACCACGGTCTCGTCACACCCCGTGAGTGGGGCCTGTAACACCCCGGTCTTGTCACGCCAGGATCTTGTCACACCCTGTGAGTGGGGCCGTCACCCCCCGTGAGTGGGGCCGCCACACCCCGGTCTTGTCACACCAGGGTCTTGTCACACCCCGGTCTGGTCACACCCCGGTCTCATCACACCCCGTGTTCTAAATACGTCACTGGTCGGCACAGGCGATGACAGAGGCCCTCGGTACAAGGCCCTTGCGGCCGTTGAGGCAGCAGAGGAGGTAGCGGTCATCCACCTCGACCACGACCTGCAGACAGTCGCCGCGGTTGAAGGACAAATGGCCGTTGTCTGTAGCTAGTCTGTGATGCAGAGTCTGCACGTACCTGTTGATACCACGTACATGTGAGGTCATAGGTCGTTATCATAGAGAATATTGGTTATATTAAAAATTTTGTCTATACGTACTAAGTGATAAAAGAAAAATTTGGCGATGGTAAAAATGATGCTCATTAAACGGAAGATAATTGAAAACTCAATTTATCGTTTCGTATGCGGGGAAAGAATTCAACAATGTAGCAAGGTGACGCACAAGGATTTTCCTTTTTGAATATGCAACCTTTACACGTTTATTGAAACTAACTTTGAAACAAACTTTACACGTTACATCCGTGCGAACCGGAAGAAAGATGATATTCGAGCTAATGCAGTTATTGCCTGCAAACCAAAGAAATTATGTTATTCAGTCATTTAAGAACAAATAAAAATTGCACATATCTTCCAGAAGAGCTTTGCAAGATTGAAATATGCAAGAGTATGACGTTTGGAATAAAAAATTAGATATTCTCTTGATAAACTTCTATGTGGGCGAGGATCCTCAATTCAAAAAGGATATTGACACTGCATCGATGCAGGAAATCAGTTATAATGCTGGATGTGAATACTAGACAATAGTTCGGACTGACTGAAGTAGCCGAGGTATTCTCAGTAAATTAGAGAAGTTTTCATCATCAAGTCAAACTCGTACATAAAGATGACAGAAACCAGTACTTCTCTAAACAAACTGAAGTATAAAATTAGGAGAACCCGTATCAAATGTGCACTTAAAAATAGGAGTGTGAGTGCGACCAAATGCCAATACACCCGAAAATGAACTAAGAGAAATGCCAAAACAAGAAACCAGCAAAGTAGTGATGTAAATATTAATTTAAACACAGTCCCAATTGAAGGCATAAACATCGAGCAGAACTTGAACTTAACAGATAAATTTTGAGTTTCTCACGTGACGAGCTTCAATTTTTCAATGCAATTGTTCACTATCCCGTACCGAAGGTGAGCTTAAGAATACAAAGATCGAATCCTCAGCAGCTAACATGCATGTATTTCCCTCAAGATGCAACATTCGTAGAAGTAAAATGTCATACCTGAAATTTCAAAAGGAATTGGCTAAAGCATTGTAATATAGTAAAGTTAGAGAGGCCCCTTCATTATATCAAATGTATTTATTTACAGGCAAGAGTTGTAACGTTGAGTGGAGAATGGGACATTGGAATGAATGGCCTACAACTTCTAGAAAATGAGACCAAGCATTCAAGTGATGGTAAAAGACGTTCAAAAAGCAACTACCACTGACTAAGTCTGATGCATTGAATGCAATGGAGACTGTAAAATAATAAGACGATTCAAAAATTCTATTGAACATAATAGGTGCAGCTAATGTAAACGATAAAGGACCGTGACAGGCCATGCATAACGTGTACTTTTACGTTGGATATTTACAGCTGCGTTGGAGCATCAAGAATGCAATTAAAGGAAACAATTCTAAGGCGTCGGATTCGACCACACTGAGTAATGTTGCATCTCCAGGTCAATAATGCAGTTAACCGAGCCATGCCTGATTATCTTCAAGCGACTGAAAGTGCATTGTCACATGCTTTTAGTGATTAAATCAACTTATTAACCAAACTCGTAAAATAAACAATGCGTTATATGCTAGTGATCGAGACTACGCTTACCGAAAAAGACGAGATGGGCAAGTTTGTGTCGAGTTAAAGCCTCAGAGTCCCAAATTATTTTCACTGGAAGGAAAGCTGAACGAAGCCGAAGCTAACTTACTGTGCCTTGCATTCGAAAAAATAAAGGCATAAAAATTGCTCGCTAAAGTGAAGAGGAAGAAGATTTTATAAACAAAATAAAAATGTTGAAGAAATAAACCAAACGATACTGAATAATTCAAAATTGTGTGTAATATCCAGAACCACACATAGGCTTGCCTCGAAAACAGGTAAGTAAATAAATTGATTAAAATAGCTTTCGGAGAAGAGATTATACAAATGCACATGATTCCCAAGCCCATACTCCCTCCTAGTCATAATTTTTACTGACAGAGAACAAGCCACGGGGCGCGAGATAGACGGTGCTTACAACGCCAGTGCAAAGCGAGAATATAAACCGGTCTTTGTTTCGATTTATTTAAGACAGGAAAGACGGAGTTAGACAGGAGCCGTTCGAGTGTGAGACTGACGGTGAAGTAACGTAACACTTACCTGGGCACGGAGCCCGGTACCAAGCGTCTGCCGTGACTTGCAGAACGTACGCCTGACGACGCTGAGCTCTTCTTGTGAACGCAGTCGTACCTGCCACCGCCTCCAGTGGAGTGTGAAGAACCGCGTTCCATAGAGTCGCTGCGGCCGGGCATCGAAGAAGCACGGTTCCCCGTAGCTACGACATTGGCACCACCGCCCACCTTGGGCGACACACGCGTCCGCATCGTCATGGGACGCGAGTCATCGGACTTATCCTTGAGTGAGCGACGCGGCGCGGGCTTCGGGAGATCCTTGCTCGTCAAGGGCGATGAACCAAAAGGACGAGCGTGAAGTGGTGGTTTGATTTGAGGCGACGTTTTTTCTTTAGCCGGTTCGAAAACTTTGAATGGCCTCTGCGGGGAGGTCATGGAAACTGGTCGAGGTATTTTGGATCGGCTTCCTGAACTTGGGCTAACCACTTTCTCTCGGACGGTTTGTGAGGGAGAAGTCGAGGAATGGCCGGAGCCGTCTGCGAGAGGGGTGGTTTCGTCGGTAGCGTCCGACGGTTCTGCATCTTGGCATTTGCTTGGCAATTCACATCCTGTCATCAGTTCCCACTTCAGCTGAAGGCGTCGGAATTTATCTCCTTCTGACTCTTTTCCTTTACCGAATATTAGAGACGTTGGACAGAGTCTCTGGCCCTTCTCATTCTCAGTATCTTTGTCAGTGGCTGACCGCTCGCTGATATCGTCATCTTTGGTAGAGATGTCGCTATCTCGCATGGCAGGAGAAACTTCATCTACAGAATTCTGAGAAAGAGCTCTCGTGGTCTTAGGATTATCGATACTGTCGGAGAAGTCTTCACTGGAGCCCGAAGCAGCATTTGTTTCCTCGAGCATGAGTTTATCTATGGCGGTGATGAGCTTAGAACCTAACTGCACGTTACTCCAGCGTTTCTTAAGGGCAGGATGTAGATCATCCCCAACGGCATCTGCGTTATCGTAGCAAGAACGAGGCCTGGGGCTTCGACTTCTTTCTTTTGTGACGCTTGCAGCGACAGTCTGTAGCAAGTCTGCCTCCGTCGACTCAGGAGATGTGAGGACTTTCATGAGAGCCTTGACGCGATCCTGCTGCGCTGCCGCCGTGTTCTTAAACTCCTTGGTTTCCTTGGCGACGAGAAGGTGATCTAAGAGCACAGAAGAAGGACGATCACCAGGACTGTTGCCGGTACTGCTGGTGTGAATCATGAGCCTTTCTTCCATCTTCAGCAGGCTTGCGTGCAGGAGTTTGTACTCATAAAGAAGGTCCAGGTGGAGGGGCAACAACGACAGAGGGCGCACTGCCATGAGGAGGTCGTCGTATAGGTTCCTGGTGGCAGTACTTGAGAGGTACAGGAAAGCTTCAGGGTGGAAGTGTTTCTGCAGGATACTTTCACGGGTGCGGAGATAACTCAGCCACGCGTCCAATGAGCGTATGCTGTAAACAAAAAGTATTAATGAAGAGAATCACAGGTAATGTCCTATTTTATTCCAAAAAGTATTAATGAAGAGAATCACAGGTAATGTCCTATTATCTTTAACAATTTAACAGCCAATCATCTTTTACTCTAAAATTAAAGCGAAATTCCATCAAATCGCGAGGCAAAAAAAAAAAGTTTCGCGCTAAACACAGCTAAGGAAAATATATGCATTACTATTTGACCATCAATTAATTTGTATGACGGTTTAAAACCATAAGATTTAATCATTAATACTTCAAAGAAAATGCAGGACATACTTAAATTTAGATATATTCCATAAATTTGCAAGAAAAAGAGTTATAACTAGCAAGAGAAGAGAGACTTTTTTCCTGAGTTGAATGCAATGAATCTTGATTAGGAGCAGAACGAGGATGGGATATATGTGAGAGAAATGCATGTTTAACATGACGATCAAAGAAAAACGCATGTTTAACATAATCAAGTAGAAACGCATCTTTACCATAACCACCAAAGAGAAACGCATGTTTAACATGACGATTAAGGAGAAACACATGTTTAACATAACCATCAAATAGAAACGAATGTTTAACATGACGATTAAAGAAAACGCATGTTTAATACAATTATCAAAGAGAAACGCATGTTTAACATAACCATCAAAGATTATTCTACAATAATTACTAACTTGAGTAGCCCGAAGATGAAGGCGTTGAACTTCATGGGTCCCTCAGAGAGACATTCTTCGCTGTTGAGGGTCAGGACGAGGTCGCTCAGAGCCTTCGTCGTAGGGCCTGACATATATTTTAAGATTATTTACTTATAACGAAGCTTTGCACGTAATGGGCATGAATCCGCCTTACATTATTATTTCGGATACATTATCAACATGAGCACATGGGGGCAACATGAGCACTATTATTCTAATATTACTTCTTTGCAAGATCGATTAGAAGAACTCTGATTATTTAAGGGTAGTTTTATTGAAAATTCCAGCCCTCAGCCGATGTTCGGCATGAAATTCCAGCTCCAGTATAATGAAATTCAGCATGAAAATCTATCTCTGGTATAATGAAGCTCGGCATGAAATCCCGGCTTTATTATGATGAAGTTCGGCATGAAATCCCGGCTTTATTATGATGAAGTTCAGCATGAAATCCAAGCTCTAGTGTAATGAAATTCTGAATCAAATCCCAGCTGTAGTATAATGAAATTCAGCATGAAATCTCAGCTCTAGTATAATGAAATTTGGAATGAAAATCCCAGCTCTAGTGTAATGAAATTCGGCATGAAATCCCAGCTCTAGTGTAATGAAATTCGGCATGAAATCCCAGCTCTAGTGTAATGAAATTCGGCATGAAATCCCAGCTCTAGTATAATGAAGTTCGGCATGAAATCCTAGCTCTAGTATAACGAAGTTCGGTATGAAATCTCAGCTCAATTATAATAAAATTCAGCATGAAATCCAAGCTTCAAAATGATGAAATTCGGCATGAAATCCCTATCTCGGCTTCACTATGAATAACTCACCCATTTGACTTGTGGCCTCAATCATTTTCCAGACGGAGTTGGCAATCTTGCCGAAGAGAGAGTGCAGGGACGGCTGCAGGCCGTCACTCAGCAGCGCGTAGATGGCGGGGCAGAGCTTTTCCAGAGTGAGCTGTGCTGCCACGCTGCTGCCGCCGCTACCATCTGCACCACGATGGTAGCAATAATAATGTAACTCATCAAAAACGGTACTCCGGCCTCAGTACAACTCATACTCAACTGTAACTCATCAAAGGCCGTACTCTTGCTTCAGTACACGAAACGGCCGATTTCACATCCGAGATTAGTGGGTTTTGCTCAAAAATCAAAAACTTTCGTCAATTATTCTCTGACAGAGTTACAAACTCTATTGATATATATTAATCAACTGTTTGTGAGATAAGGATCCTTTTGCATAGTAGCACTCACTGGGTTTAGGCTTAGCGGCGTGCGAGTGGCTGAAGTGCGACACGAGCTTCTCGACGGCCACGCGGACGGACATCACGAGCGCCCGCTTGTCCTGAGCGTCGTACACCACCGGCCGCTCCTCGATCTTGGAGGGAACCTTCCGACAACAACAACAGTTTGTAATACAAGTAAATGCAGCTTATAATACTTTTCATAAAAATAAATCGCATTAAAATTACGACAACTTTTTACTTGGCATACTAACGAGCCTTCAAAACAATTTCTAATGCATGACAATATCATAGAGATGGGCTGAGCATGCTAGTGTTTAGTTTTAGAGTATTCAAGTCCCTATTCAAATTTGTGACTTGACATTTTTTCGTAATTTTACGATACTTCACAAAAATAAAAGAAGAAATTAGAAGTTGGAAAGATATCCAGAATTTATATGAGGCAGGCTCGCTCATTACTCACGTCATACGCTGACTCGACGGTTTGCCGGGAGTGTTGGCAGCCGTGGCCTGCGAAGGACACGCTCTTCTTGGGGCACCAAGCACACGTGTTCTCTTCGGTCAGATTTTTACCCACCAGGAAGTTGCTCACGCGGGACCTGAGTGCTGCAAGATCTTCTTCAGTAAACTCCTCGTGACTGGAGACGTTGGGTAATTCACTGACGGGCAATAGGTTCTTCAGTCTGAGTCCCTTGCCACAGAATCCAGTGCAGGCGGTAATGCAACTGCAGTTCATTTCAGCAGCGCCTCCATCGGCCTCAGTTCTGCAGGGCTGGTCGTCGTCGCGCTCCTCTTGCCCAGCATCCATAGATTCAGGTAGAGATCGTCTCCTGGCAACGTCGTCCCGAGATAAACGATCGGGCGAATCCGCGGCGCTGTGTCGTTTCTTGGCGCCTTGTTTCTGAGATTCGTCCCTCAATGACGTAACTTTCCTTAATATGCCACGGGGCAAAGGTGGCCGAGGAGGGGGATTATCCATGTCTTCCACACCTTCCTCACTAGGTAGAGATACAGAGCGTTTGGGAACCGATGGAGCTTCTTCACCAGACGCAAGTTGCTGGTTTGTTTCTGAATCGTTAAGAATAGTGGATGATCCTCTATAACCTGAGGAAGGCTGCGTGCTCAAACTTGTGTTGCTGTTCGATGTCTTCGCTGAGCCGAAATCACAACTATTGGGTCGACGAGGAGACTTTGGAGAGATACAATACGATGGTTTTACTGTTTCCATGCATTCAGTGTTATCAGAAAGCATTTCCTTCAGCTCTTTAGGAAGTAGAACGTTAAGAGACTCCCAGTCTTTGATATGAGAGAGCCCACGTTTGCGTAATTTTTCCATGTCATTACAAGAAAATGGACGACGAGAAGATCCCTCTCTGACCTTTCGACTGATCACGGGAGGTCTCCTGTAGTGCTGAGGCACCAAAAATATTCGCGAGTCTACACTGTACTTTTTATCCTTCAGGAAGCTGAGATCTGGAAGAGCGTAGTTGGGATAATAAACATAGACATCTTTTCGGTCCATGAGATTACTGGTGTTCATGGTAGCAGACACTTTTAAATTAGACGTCTGCAGACACTGATCAGCCATTTGTTTGAGAGCCCTGGGTTTAGGACGAGGTCGCTGGGGCGTGTGTTGAGGAGTATGCGAGTCCGACGCAGAGCGTAGCCGCTCTATTGAACCCTTCGTACTCGCGTATCCACTTGACGAGTTGCCAGAGTTTTGGCGTTGCCTTTGAGTGCCGTCACGACGGTGAGCTGACTTCTTAGGAGTGCTAGGAGATTGTGAGCGGTTTCTACCTTCAGTGTGGGCTCCAAGCACATTCTTGTTCGGCGATCCAGTATTACTGTCTTTACTTCTTTCCTTAGTCGGAGAGCTCTGAGAAGAACCAGACTCTGAAATTTTCTTCTCCCCTGAATTTGCACAAGTTGAAATTTTTGTCTCGGATTCGGACTGGTCATTGACAAGTTTATTTTCAGAGCGACTGTCAAACGAGATGTCCATGCCTTCGGGCTCCTCTCGGATCGGACTGGTCATTGGAGGCTTCGAGCAGGGACAAACTTCCTTCAAACTTTCTTCGAAGTTAGCAGTATTATCAAAAGCTCCGACAGGTCCAGTATTGTCAAGTATTTGATTGACCGCATTGTTATTGTTGACCAAAGAACCGTCCGTCTCCAAGAGGATAGTGGCTGCAGTGGGCGAAATGATGTCACTGGAAGTAGAACCGAAGTCACCCGAATTAGAGTTTATATTTCGCGGGTTGATATCGCCGCCACTTCGTCTTCGCATGCCACGCTCGATGATGGCTTGGTTGTTACGCATGACGGAGTGAGGGACGGGTGACGCGCTGCCTTCCATGTCATCGCTTTGACTGTTCATTGGCCAATCAGAACTGTCAACGGCGGAGGGGTTGTCAGAACTGGAGCAGCAAGCACCTTCATGTGATCTGCTAGTACAACTCGACGACAAGCTGATGGCTTCCTTGCTTAAACTTTTCTGCTTCATGAAGAGGCGCACGAGAGAAAAAGAGTTACCTTCAGCTTGACGGGCGGAAGAGTGACTTGAACGGAGACTGTTTTGCAGGTCAAAAACTTTAATACATTGTACACCGGTGTCTATTGACTGACGCAGCAAAGATCGTCGCATGAGGTTCGGCATGCTGTTGCTCTTACTGTTATTTTCTTCGTGGCTCTCATGAGCAGCCTTAGCAGTTCCAGCAGCAGTCGCTGTGATGGCTGGTTGCAGTTGCTGCGGCAGGATTTGTTTGTGAAGAACTTCCTGCGTACGCCCCGCGGGGGAAAGGTGGGAGGTTGCAGCCCGGGTCTTATGAGCACCCGAAGGGTCTGGGGTCCGACAAGAAGGGGAAGATTTGCGGCCGACGCGAGACCAGGTCGTGTAAGGCTGGTCCGAGTGCGTCATGGCGGGGGCCGGAGACTGCCCGTCCTCAAGACGGTCCGCGGTCCACGAGCCGCTGCCTGTCGTGTCACTCTCTCCTGAAACGAAAAGTGGTTTCAGACTCGTTGAAAACTTGGCAAAGAGACCGAAAACTGGGCGCAGTGACAAATACAATCAGTATAAGGATTTGCTTCCCTTCGATAAAGTCGAATTTCCCAAAAAGAAAAATCCAACCTTAATTGCAAGAATCCAACCTAAATTGCAAGAGAGAAGATTAAATCTATAGTCAAAATATTCAAATTGGCAATAGAAAATTAATATAATACGACAAACCGTGAACAGTTAAAATTTTGTGATAGTATTAACAAAACATTACCTGCTTCATGGTAATCCGAATCCTCGGAATACTGGATGAACGATCCTTCGAAAGCAATTGTATAATTGTCCTTGTTGGCCTGGCAGGTCAAGATGAGATCTTCGTGCAGACTTTCACAGTCGAGAGAGTCGACGCTGAAGGTGGTGTTGCCTATAGGCGGAGGTTCTTTTAGGGGGGAAAACAACGGACCAGATTGGTACAAAGAAATGTCGCCGCTGACTCCAGAGAATTCTTCTTCTTCGAGGTCATAGTCTTCGTAGTGCTGACATTGTCGCCATGCGTTGTGGCGGCACATGGTAGGACGACGACTTTTGGTGGGAGTGTTGTTGGCTGACGGCTCGGCGCTCTCCTCGCCGTCATGATCATGAAGCTGCAAAATAAATAGAATAAAATTTCAGAAGATGTATGTGCACATATGTAATATTTTTTTATGCATGTAAACATTTATATCAACGAGCTCACGAAAGAATAATTTCAATAATAAATATGAAATCTCCTTTGTTGAAGCAAATTCTAGGCAATCTTACACGACACTGGGCGCAGACGCTGGGCAGGGCCAGAAGTTGGTTGATATCGTCGCTCCTGAAGTCGTCCATGTCGATTTCAGCGAGGTTAGCGTCGAGATGTCGTGACAAAGTTTCATAGGAGAGGTCCTGTAGGTCGGGTTCCGGGTTCGTGTCGAGCACGGACGCTCGACACAACCCGTCCCGACCCCCGGCACCGAGAGACTCGCGGGTGTAACTTTCCCGGTACCTGGGACAGTTAGTAGCGAACGCAGGACTATGAGAGGCATTATATTGGCACGATGCTTGGTTTTGTAACTTAAGCGGGTGAGGTTTTATCTCAGTAAAGCTTGAACTTGAGATTCTGATCGAGGTTAATTGTAGTGGTGATGAAGAGCGGGTAAAGATCGGTTCGTGTGAAATTGTTAATGCAAATTCGTCCAGTACTTTAGCTTGACACGATGCTTGGTTTTGTAACTTAAGCGGGTGAGGTTCTTTCTCAGAAATATTTGAACTCAAGATGCTGGATGAGGTTAATTGTAGTGGTGAGCGGGTGTAACTTTCCCGGTACCTGGGACAGTTAGTGGCGCACGCGGGACAATGAGAGGACTTGTATTGACACGATGCTTGGTTTTGTAACTTAAGCGGGTGAGGTTCTTTCTCAGTAACATTTGAACTCAAGATGCTGGATGAGGTTAATTGTAGTGGTGATGAAGAGCGGGGCAAGATCGGTTCGTGTGAAATGGAAGAAGTCAATGCAAATTCATCCAGTAATTTAGCAGAGATGGGAGACGTATCAGAAGAAATGGATTCAATTAGGATAAAAGGTGAATGGCCATATTGATTATCATTACTTTCGTCACTGTCAAAAGAAAATGTATTGTTTAATTTTAAATTTTTTTGATTGAGTTCATTTGCATGAGAAATCATTAACGAATCTTCAAAATAGACCTCGTTAAAAATACTTCCATCATCATTTTCGACATCATTGGTCTGAAGTTTAACAGGATGTGAGCCTCTCTTAAGAAAATTGAATCTTTTATTGGGTTTATTGGAATTTTCAGCATCGCTGCAGCACTTTGAGCAACTGACGTCATTATAAGGGAAAGGAGGTTCAGAGAATGGAGGGTAAATATCGAAGGAGAGGGTAGACGGGGTAGAAGGATGTCCGGCATCAGGGCGAGCGTGATAAGCACAATAGTAATCAGCGTCAATTTGACTGCTGATTCAAGAAGGAGGAACGATTTTGTCAAAAGCACAAGGGTACAGAAAACCGAACCATATATGACAGGTTCGAAGCAGCATTAGGTCGCGAGAAGAGAATTTTGAAGCGTGAGAATTATTCAGGTTGAAAAAACATGTACAAGAACACGACAGTAGTGGTCAAAATTAGATGAAGGAAATAAAAAATTCACAATGCAATGTCAAGGCGGGAAGAAAGTCAGATAAAAAATAAACACAGGCAACAACAGAGGAAGGGGGGTGGGAGCAAAGCAAACGAACACAAACATAAAAAAAGTCTAAGTCAATTGTACTGAATCGCTTAATAATATAGAAATTACGTATTTATCAATGTATTACAAAAGAACACTGGAGAAGCTGATCAGATTTCAACTATAAGATTTACAACTAGAGAAGACCAAAGATTGAATCCTATGCAAGCTCCCAGAGAGCCCGCTTACGAGCCCACAACAAGAACCAACACTTTATGTGGATACACTAATTAAATGCAAACAATTTCATATACACATATATTCTCCTCTCCCACACACTCGCACACTCTCCCCATATACACTCTTTTAACGTTTTACTCAGGACACACAAACCCCCATACACCCATCACAACACCACCACCCCCAACACTCCCCTCACACCACCCAACACTCCCCTCACACCACCCAACACTGCCCTCACACCACCCAACACACCCCTCACACCACCCAACACTCCCCTCACACCACCCACTCGTAGTCCAGCAGCCACTGGTAGTCAGCGGTGTCGTGGTCGAACTCTCCCTCACACCACCCAACACTCCCCTCACACCACCCACTCGTAGTCCAGCAGCCACTGGTAGTCAGCGGTGTCGTGGTCGAACTCTCCCTCGTGCTGCGCGGGACGGTCAGCGCCAGAGTAGCAGCAGCCGTCCGGCCCGCAGGAGCCCGCGCTGGCGTCGCTCACTACGCTCCCACCGACGCTAACCTAAAGCACATTCATCACATTAGGGCCGATACTTTCAGAAAAAGTTAAGATATCGTAAGTTCATCAGCCAATCATTGACGGCTTTTCAAGCAAAATCCACCAATCATAGACAAGAAAATAGGGCGTAAGTACTTATGTTCACTTAGCGAATTTTGAAAGTATGTCCCCAGGCCACTATAGAGTAAAACTCTCGTTTCAAAGTAAAATAGTGAAGTAAAATTGATAGTAACACATTAGACCACTATAGAGTGAAACTTTCTCGCTTCCAGAAGTAAAATAATGAATTAAAATTGATAGTAACACTTTAGACCTCTATAGAGTAAAACTTTCGCTTCTGAAAGTTAAATAACAAAGTAAAATGGTGAAATCGATAGTAAAAGACAAATGAATCACCACATCAGGCCACTATAGCGTGCAACTTTCTCTTTAAAAAGTTATTTTATAGCTAAATTCTATTGATTCCTGATTGAGTGCTACAGATTACAAGACGAAAGCGTTTCATTTTATTCATAGCCAATCCGAGACAAATTCAAGTCCTTCTTAGTTCTTTGAAAAGTTTTTAATTTTCAAAGAGTTTTTAACATGTCTTCCTTCCTCTTGAAGGGATTAGTAACCGGAATTATCAACTCATTGGATTTTAATATTAAATAATATAAACTCAGGACAAACGCAACGCTCTTAGCATTTTTACTCAATGACATGCTAGCTCTTGTCCGTGCGTCCTTCTGGAAAGTGTCGGAACCTTTGCTTTTACATTACAGACACAATAGCTGCTGTGAGTTTGTTGTACAGCGCAAGCACAACGTCATGCGTTATAAATATATGGAAGCGAAGATCAGTTCCATGTAAAATTATGACCATAATCGATAATCTTCAGTCCTGGCTCACGTTAAACATTTAACCCAAAGCGAAAATAATTCAGCGTCAGAGATTGTAACATGCAAAATTAGATTCACTGTACAGTAACTCGTGACCGTTGGTTCGATTCAAGCCTTGAAAAAATAATGTTACTTTTTTCATTAAAAGCACAGGTGAATAATAAAAATCCCCAAACCTTCGACCACTTTGTTCACTGCCTTGGCAACACAACAAACACATTTGACCCCCATTATAGAAGCCAAGTCTAGGAATATGAAAAACACGTCAATCTCATACAACACGTAACTTGGTGCACAACACCTGCCTCGGTTTACGACACAAATAGCATGGTATTTGTGCCGTAAACCGAATATTATTATTTTTGCCGTAAAATATTATTATATTTGCCGTAGACTATAATTATTTTTGCCGTAGAATATTGTTATTTATGCCGTATTTATTATTATTATTATTAATATTATTACCTTGTTGCTGAGGTGAACTGGTGAAGGGGCGGCACTCATGATGGCCGGTGAGGGGTGGGGAGACGAGGGGAGCAGCTGAGGGGAAGGCACTCCCCCAACACGACCCACCACCTTCACGCCTTCAATGCCTGCAAATAAAAATACACGTTCATAATTAAATCAAAGTTTAAATAAATGCATTCTGATAGACCAGAGCACAATTTTTGGACGCATTCTGATAAATCAGAGCACACTTTCTGGAGGCATTCTGATACAAAATAAACCTAAGGCCTCAATTTTTTAAAGTAAAGAAAATGGATACGTTTCAAATAAATATAAACGTCAATAATAATATAGTATTATGGTAAACACGACATGATACACGATTGATGAACGACATGACAAGAAATGTTCACGCTGATACTAGAGAAGTCATTTGAAACACATGGGAATGAAGTCCAGGGTTGGCAGTGATTAAATCAAAATGATTAAATCATGTGATTAAATCACTTGATTTTTTTATAAAAAAATCATGATTTTCTTGATTTTTTCGATTTTTTTGATTTTTTTGATTTTTTCATATANAGTAGAATGAAGATCGGTTTGTCGGTATACCAGTTTACGATGTCGCAGTAGAATGAAGATCGGTTTGTCGGTATACAAGTTTACGATAACGCAGTAGAATGAAAGATCGGTTGTGTCGGTATACAAGTTTACGATAACGCAATAGAATGTAAGATCGGTTTGTCGGTATACAAGTTTACGATAACGCAGTAGAATGTAAGATCGGTTTGTCGGTGTACAAGTTAACCAGCCGCAAGTCACCGAGTTCGCACGATAACAATCGAAGTCAAGTAGAGTGAAGGTCAGTTAATATAAGCGGCACTGCAGAGGCAGCGCTGTGACCTGATCAATAGAGCACCCGACACCGTCCGCACGAACAACTAGACGCCGCGCTTAACAAATGCAGTGCAACCAAAAACATCTTAATGTTTTAATATATATTTGTTCATTAATGTACATTAATTAACATAAACTCTTGTAGGGGAATCCATTTTAGTTAGGAAATTTTAGTCTACGTTTAAAAGTGCAGAATATTCACTGATATGTTTGAGAAGGCAATAACCAACAATTTATAAACCAAAATATATTGACTCAGTAGGATAACTGCATTCATCTAGATTCTAGAATGTCAAACTTGTGTAACATATGATCGATTTCGAGTTCATTGGCTGATGAATTTCTAATATTAACAAAATTGCGGTATTTTCAAGCCGATTAGATGAACGCATTTTATTCTAGTACAATTTTTATCAATTGCATGAACCCCTGAGTTATCCCGGCTACAGGTCAAAAGTTTTTTTCATCAAATTGGCGACTATATATTCGCAATAGCAATAGGTAAGATTGACTACGAATCAATCCATTTACTAACACATGTATTCTAGTTTAGTTAATAAAAATTAGAGCTTAATTTTTCGAACGATACTTAATTGCACTCGAAATTTGAAAAAAACTAAAGACAATCTAAAATCTGAAAAGAAAATGACTACCTTATGCATGATTATGTCAATATGCATGATTATTCAATATTCAAATAAACGCCCACCGTATAAATCGCATCGACTTCTATAATATGAAAAATGATAAATAATACTAAATACTTCTATAGTAATGCTATAGTATTAATACTTCTAAATTATCATAAATACTTATATTATATTATTACAAATAATATACGAGTACATTTGGAGGTAACAAATAAAGGGAAATCAGCAGACAGCACCGGATTTGTCTTGTTATAGCCGAGGCTATATACCGAGGATATCCTTTTGGTCCTGCCACTGCAAGACGGACTAGTTTGCGTCACGCAAGACCAGCAATACGTTAGTGTGATGATAACAAATAACAAACATATGCAGGAGACACATGTGTAGAAACAGGGATTTGTATTTACGTAAACACAAACGCCAAACTGTTGCAATTCGATACCCGATCTCAGATGAAGGTGAACATCAAACTTTGACTATTATTTTTTACTCCCCCAACTTTGGTTTAATAGAAGCAATTTGGAAATTTGGCAAGAATATATCGAATAACATCCAAAATCTTGACCTGTAAAAAATAATTAGTAAAAGTATATGCACAACGGCACTGAACACGCGATTTTACCAATGCCTGAGGCTCGAACCTCGCGTTGGGCAGCAGTAAAGCTAAAGCAGAAACTCGGCATTGGCAAACAACATAATTGAACATATTAATACGGTTTTCTGTGGGCGCTAAATGACAATATCGAATTGTGGTTAAGAATTACGAAGTGCATGCAATTTTATGAGATTTGTTCGTATGTGCTCACTGGGCAACTGCTTGTAGTTTTCCTAACTTGCCTGTGGAAGCTTAAGCAGATGCAGAGCTCAGTGATCCGAAACACGTTAAGTTGCGAGCCCCCTCCGATGATCTCATTAGGACCTTAACACCTCATTACCCACGTCCCTTCTAGTTTGCAAGGACAAGAAATTCGAGAGGAAAGAGCATGATTTTTCGCGCATGAGCGTTAACACTAACAGTAATAACATAGATTAAAATGGGATAGAACACAGTCCCCAAAAACTTTAAAAAAAATTAATCAATGCTTGTGTCCACCTTTTAAGCAAAGATTATCAGTCTCGATAATTTTATAAAATCAGGATTTGGCCAACGGCAATATTTCTGTTCGCGCCAAAATTTCTAACGAGAGCCAGTGTCTAAATTAGAGATTTAGCTCGTCAAGATTTAGGTCATGTAATTGATGGCGAAAAAAGCGTTGAAGATCAGCCAGCGATAACGAACGACTGGTCGTGAACGGACCTGCCCTGGGCAGGGGAGAGGACAATGAGGACAAATCAGACCCTGCAGGGTCGAGGTCATCATGGGAACTTGTGAGGTCGACCCTAAGGCCCGGCAAACGGACCCGAAGGCCCGGAAAGCGGACCCGAAGTCCCGGAAAGCGGACCTGAAGGCCCGGCAAGCGGACCCGAAGGCCCGGAAAGCGGACGCGAAGGCCCGGCAAACGGTCCCTCGAGCAACCGTGAGGGGATCGCATATTGGCCATACGACCGCTCCAAACGACCGGCCGAGGTAAGCGAACTTACTCTGCTTTGGGCCGAGTATATCCGAGATACAAAATATAAAGAAATGAACCCAATTGTGAGTCTGGAGACCATCATTACAGAGGGCAAAATGTGATCCTGATCAAGTTCATAAATTTTTTGAGGAAAAATTGTTAGAATGGAAAACATACATCTATTATTAATCATATAAATGCGTTCGATAGGACTGTGTCTGGTCAATCAGCCTTATTAGTAGAAAACAAGTGACGAAACCTCGATTAATTACCAATATTTCTAAAACTGTTAAAAAAAGCCAAGCAATTTACGGAGTTCAATAAACTGGAAACTAAGAAGAATCACCAATCTCGTTTACCGTGAATGAGGCTGAGGTAAAAGTAACGTTTTCCACAAGTGGTAAGACTCGTTACAAGACCTTCAGATACAAGTAACTTTTAAAACAATAAAGGTATCCACTCCACTCGATCGCTGCACAAAAAATAGCTGTGTGCATCGTTTCAATAACAGCATAGACTTTGAATTTCCAACTCGATTTTCAAAAGAAAGCCTCCAACTTGATTTTCAAAAGGAAGCCGTCACTGAAGTTCTTTCAACGCAACCTGTCGATACGAGAGTAAGATAGCGATAACGGCAGGCAAGAGGCGATACCAACGAAGATATTAAATAAGGACAGTCATTTGAAGAGCGGTCAATTGAAAGCGATAAAAAGACTCTGAAAGAACTACAGTAACGGTTCATCTTGTAGACTGAAATGAGTTCAACAATTCGTAAAGAAAAATAAGCGTCAATATGACTATCCCTGAAAAGAGTTTTTTTGGGCCATTCTGTGATTTTTAATTTTCGTAATATAATTGAATTTCTCATCTCTCGGATACGAAATACTCGTAAAACTTGTCCATTTTCTAACTATATTTGGTCACTTCCAAAACTGCAGATACAACGATATTGATTCATTAATATGCTCACATCACCAAATTATGCGCAAAATTATTTTGTAATAATAAAAATCAAGTCGCACATATTACAAAAAACATGTTTGTTGAATGAAGCGAAATTGCCAATAGTACCAGTTCATAAATAAGAATGGGGACCAAAACAATCTTCGGAGCACAATAACGCTGGATGAGAGTCGAATAAAAACAAACGTATAACAATATCTCACACGAGACTTTAGACCCCCACGAAGAAAACATCCGAACTTCCGTAAGTATTTTCTTGGATTCCATTTGGTTAAGCGGCTTTTCATGGAAATCGAAAACGTGAAATATGGACGCTGCAGTGTGAGCGACCTTGCCAAACTTTGAACTGTGACAGCCAGGAGAAAAACATGGTACAAAGTATGTAAATAACAGTACATTATGAGTACTTTAAATTGAAGAAACATTAGAAAAAAATAAAAATGTAATATTATTATTCTAATAAATATTTATTATCGTTCAACTCAACATAACGCTTCTCAGATCAAACCATGTTTGATCAGGTTTAATGAAACCATATTTTCTAAAAGAAAACAGAAAAAAAACACTTTATCACGGAGTGAAAACACTTTTAAATTCATACTTTTTTCTATTGTTGTTAACCAATATTCACAAAGAGCTCATGAAATCTCATTAGATTTTATGAAAGAATCACTAATAAAAAAGAACCACATTCAAAGTATTTTTGCCCAGAGAATAGCACGAGATGATTGCCACCTACGAAAAATTTCCCAATCAGAACATTCGTGCCAGGCAAGGTAAAGGCGCTCGAGTCGACACGCCCACGCATTCACAACTCTGCGCCATATCGTCGCGATAGTGACGCACCGAAGGGCATCTTTTAGATAAGAAGGAGGCAGAGGGAGACGCGATAAGAACGAGGTAGAGAGAGACGCGATAACAAACAGGCAGAGCGCGACGCGATAAGAACGAGGCAGAGAGCGACGCGATAAGAAGGAGACAGAGAGACGCGATATGAACGAGACACAGAGTGTGAAGCGATAAGAAAGATGCAGAGAGCGACGCGATAAGAACGAGGCAGAGAGCAACGCGATAGAACGAGGC